CCCCCCCTCCTATTTGTTGTGCTTTGATGGATTGAGATTGCTGGCCGCACGTGCTACTTCATTGCAGTACAGCCAGCCATCATGGCATCATGAATTGATGTCCACCTTATTCGCCCCTCCTCGTGCTTGTATATATAACACCAGTTCAAGGAGCTGCTGATCCTGCTGAACGAAAAGTGTGGGGAAAAGGGCGTTATCCCATCACGCTGGACGGTGGCGCGCGACACCGTTGTCCTTGCTGACTTGGCGCTCGAGGCAGCGATTGCAGAGCTGGCCTCTACAACCTGTGCCGTGTCGTACAGCACCGACATGTGGACAGGCCCGAACGGCAAGGCCTACATGGTGCTGACAGGTCACTTCGTGTCAGTGCAGTGGGAGTTGCGCCAGGTGATTCTTGCTTTCGTCGAGATGCCTGGCAGGAATGGGGGGAAGGAAATTGCTAAGGCGGTGGAGAAGGTGATGGTGCAGTGGAAGTTGCAGACGCGTTGCCTCGGTCTCACGACCGACAATGCGTCTGCAAACGTAGTTGCTCTTCGGCACCTGGCGGAGGAGGGTGAATTCTCGGGGTACTTCAGCGAGAAGGCGCACTACAGGTCCGTCTTGTAGCTGGATTCCAAGTTCCTAAACCTGGTCCCTTTTGCTTCTGTCCGCACCATAACACCCTTGTAACCTCGTTTGCCGGTTTGAAACCCTAAACCCCTCCGATCCAACGCAGGTGCCTGTCGCACATTGTGAACCTGGCAGTGCAGTCTGGGCTGGGTGTGGAGTCGATGACGGTGCCCCTGAAGAAGGTGCGGGAGATTACTACGTGGGTGGGCATGTCGCCCTAGCGAGGAGCCGCCTTCATTGCGCTGCAGGTTCGGCATGGAGTGCTGCCCAATGGGCCGCACAAGCTCGTTCAGGACAGTCCTACGCGGTGGGGGTCCACACACGAGATGGTTAAGCGCTTCTTGCTGCTGAGGCCCTTCATCGACATGCACTTTGCCCGCGAGCAGGTACGGCTCCATTCGTATCCATTGCAATCTGTGTTGATTGGACGCGTAAGAGCTGTTGCTTTGAAGATTGTCAGAATCCACTACGTTCCAACCGTTCCCCAAGCCTAAGCACATGTACTCAATGTCATCCAACCCAATCTTGCGCCCTCACCTAATCAACAGGGCACCACGAAGGAAGAGAAGGAGAAGTGGCGAGGTTTGCGTGTGACCGATGTCGAGTGGGAGGCCTTGGGGGCTTTGGAGGGGTTTCTCCGTCCCTTTGCCAGAGTCTCCACGGCCGCCGAGGGGTCGACCTACCCCACTGTGTCGATGGTGCTGCCTTACTTCTACGCCCTCATCGACAGCCTGGAGAAGACGCTGCACACAGGGACGCATGAACTAGTTCGTCCACTCATGTCTGCCGCGCTGGGGCACCTGAAGCAGTACGAGTTTGCCATCGGGGACGAGTACTGGATCGCGACCTTCTTGGATCCGTCCATGAAGGCCGAGTACTTCAGGATGACACACTGGGAGCTGATGCATCCAGGCATACTGGCACGTGACGGTGGGCGGCTTAAGCCACGTATGAGTGCGGACAGGGTGGTGAGCTTGGTGCGCCGCCGAGTGGAGGAGTACCAAGCTCGAGCAGCACGTGAAGCTCCCACCCCACCACCAGCACCAGCAGCAGCAGTGGTGACACCGTTCGAGGACAACGACGACGAGTTTGTGTTCTCCAGGGCACAGCTGCAGAAGCGTGTTTCAGCTAGCGCAGCAGCGAGAGCGGGGGGAGGGGGGACGTCGGTGGGGGATGAGGTGGATCGGTACTTAGCGGAGCTGCCTGTCTCGGACGTGCCAGCGCTGCAGTACTGGCAGCGTGCGAGGAACATGGACACGTTGAGGCAGATGGCACGGGATTACCTCGCTATCCCCGCCACCTCTGCAGCTAGCGAGCGAGCTTTCTCCATGGGGAGGAACCTCATCTCCTTGCACAGGCACAGGCTGAACACTGAGCGTGTTAGCGCGAGCATGACTCTCAGGTCATGGTACACGTCACACCCTGGGAAGAGTATTGGTGAGGAACCCGGCCGCAGCGGACAGCAGGCACCACCAGAGTTGGCGCTGGAGGGAGAGGGGCTAGATGAGGGGGATGAGGAGGAGGCTGTTGCTGTGGGGGGGGGAACTGGAGTTGAGTGAGGGAGTTGCATGGGGACTTGGTGCTGTCTGGCTTTGTTTTGCATGTCCTTGACTTGTCGTTGCCCTGAACTTTGAGCTGTTGACTTATTTATCCATATTTCACTAGACCATGTGTGCGAGACATTGCGGATCTTCGCTGCTACCTTTATTTACATTCTGATTTTGCTTGTAGAACACACGCCCTGAGTTTCTTACATGCACTGAATGTGATTATAATAGAAAGTACCCCCCATGGCAAACTGTTCGAGTTCGTGGCAAACTGTTCGAGTTCGTGCCAAACACCTTAGTGTTCGGCCATGCCTCATAACTGTTCGACACTATACTCGAACGGGGAACACTAACATTTACGAAAACTGTTCGTGACAAACGTGTTCGGTTCGGTTCGAGTTGACCAAGTGTTCGTCAACTGTTCAAGTCAAACGTGTTCGGTTCGCTCGTTGCTCATGTCTAGGTGAGGGTGCCAGCGTCTTTCAGTGCAGTTTCGGTGGCCCCACTGTCAAGGACAAAGTCCAGGGTGGGGGAGGAAGGAGAGGGAGGTGACACAGAGTACTGGAGAGACGTCTCACGGATAGAAGAGGGATACAGTGGCGGGTGCTGCTGCTGGAAGTACTGCTGCTGCTGCGGCTGCTGAGGTTGGAGAACTTTTGGCTGCTGCTGATGTTGGAAATACTGCTGCTGCGGCTGCTGCTGCGGCTGGAGGAACTGTGGGGGGTGCGGCTGGAGAAATTGTGGCTGCTGCCGCTGCTGGAAGCACTGCTGCTGCTGGATTTCTGGAAACGCTGCAGCTGGGGAGGGGGGAAGGGGGTGAGCAGGCGGAGGTGAGCAGGGAGGAAGGAGGGGAGGGTCGGAATGTTTAGGAGGGAGGGGCGAGGGGTAACACTGTTCCAGCGAGGGGGGGGAGAGGGGCAGGGGGGGCAGCAGCCATGATGGGCGACGACGGGTGGACCGGCAGCGGCCAAGGGTGAAGGGTGAAGGGTGAAGTTGCTGCTGCTAAGGCTGCTGCACTTCCCCTGCTGCTGCTGCTGCTGCTGCCGCTGGCAGGAGGGAGGGAGAGGGGTAAATGAGGAGGGAGATGGCAGTGGAGGGCAGTGGTGTTCAAGGTGCAGGGAGCGGCGGGGTGCAGGTGGCGACGGCGGTGACAAGGGCGCAGGCGGCTGCGCGAACGTGCGGCAGCGGGAAGGTGAGGCGGTGGCAAAGTCGAGGGCGGCGGTGGCGAGCAGGCCGCGACAGCGAAAAGGTGCAGGCGACGGCGAAATAGCCGCGGCGGCGAAAAAAAAAAAGGGGGAGAGGGGGGAAGGGAGAGTGCAGTTGCTATTGCTGTTGCTGCCGCTGCTGCTGCTGCTGCTGCTGCTGCTGAGGAGGGGGAGAGGGAGAGGAGGGAGACGGGGAAGGGAGGTTGCAGTTGCTGCTGCGGCTGCAATGGCCGGAAGTGAGTGGTGGGGATGAGGAGGGTGCAGTGGCGGCGGAATTCGCAGGTGGCGACGGGGCAGTCACGGTGGCAGGAAGCGTGGGCGGGTACCGCGGGCGGCGATGACGCACTCGCGGCGGCGGGAAAGGCAGGTGGCGACGAGGCAGTCGCGGCGGCGGGAAAGGCAGGTGGCGACGAGGCAGTCGCGGCAGCAGGAAGGGCAGGCGGCGACGTGGCAGTCGCGGCGGTGAAATTGACCCGTGCGACTGCTGGCAGTGATTTCGCCATGGTCAAAGGGGTCCGCACGACTGCTAATAGTGATGGCGCGACGGGCAGAGGGGTCCGCGCGGCCTGCACGGCCGTTTAGCAGAGGTGACGCGACGATCAGGAGGGCCCGCGCGGATGCCAGCAGAGGCTACGCGACGAGCAGAGGGGCCCGCGCGGATGCTAGCAGAGTGGCGCGAAGAGTAGGGGGAGCCCGTTAGGTTGCTAAGAAAGGTCGCGACGTACTAAGGGAGGCCGCGCGACTAAGTCGGACGATTTCGCTTAGCTGCTGGAGTGTATAAGGGAAGATAGGAAAAAGAAAGTTTAGGCCTAGGATCTAGTGGCGTTTGCCTTAGGCTCTGAATACCATGAAAGAAACTAGGAGCTGTAGAGACTTGAGGAAGAATGATTGACATTAGCTCAAGAGAGCACAAGGTTATACAAGGAAGAGAAGGTTGAAGGAGAAAGGTTGCATTTGGGAAGTGAGGCAACCTAAGGTCAAGTGGGTTGCATTTGGGGGCTCCACCACAATTGGGTTGGATTGGCACCCCACAATGCAAGACTACACCCAAAGTTGGGTGTAGTCCCAACCCAATTGTACACCACAATTGGTGTACAGTCACAATTGTTAGCATGCTAGAACATACAATTCTAACAATGGTGAATGCATGTGTCATGGTGAATGCATGTGTGATGGTGAATGCATGTGTGATGGTGAATGCATGTGTGTGAGTGGACTCAGAAGGTCACAGAATGTCAGGCTGTGTATGCAACTGAGTGGAAGGTCGAGGGCAGGGAAGGAAAGGAAGGGGGGGGGTGGGGTGTGGGGGGGGGAGAGAAGGGGTGTGTGGGTGGGTGAATGTGAGAGAGATTGGTGGCAGGGACACACATGGAGAGCACACCCGCGCTCTCCCACACCCCCCCTTTTCCCTCATCCTCTCCCTTTCCCCCTGTTCCCAGTACCCACCGTATCCAAGGAGCAGTCGCAGGATGCCTCTTTCCCGAGGAAGGTTGGAGCTCTTTGAGGTTGGCAGGGCAGCCATGACAGCTGGCGACATGTTGTTCTTTTGGAGCTTGATTTTGAGAATTCTCAAAAACCGAGCTTATATAAAAAGGTAGAGCTTCACTCCCCTCCCCGCCGTGTCCCCATCTCCAACACCCTAACCCAACCCCCCCACCATCACCCACGAGCGCACCATTTCCAGGGAGCGGTCAGAGGAGGTCTCTTCCCTTCCCAACACCCCACCTCCCCCCATTCCACCCTCCCTTTCCACCCCACCAACACCCACGAGCAAGCGCACCATATCAAGGGAGCGGTCGGAGGAAGCTTCTTCCCCGGGCAGCTCCTTGAGAATGACGGCCATGACAGCTGGCGAGATGTCCACGTCAGCACTGCGGAAGCGGCGCGCACAGATGGCGAGGAAGGTGAGGAGTGACGTGTAGAGCCTGGCGGGGGATAGAAGGGGGGTGGAGAGGGATGGGAAGCGGGGAGAGGGGGGGAGAGAGGGGGAAGGGAAGGGGGAGAAGGGGGAGAGGGTGGCGATTGATGGAAGGATGGAGATGGAAGGGGTTGGAGGAGAAAGGGACAGTGGAGAGTGAATGTGAGGGAGAGAGGTGATCTCATCATCACATCAGGCTGGCAGTGAGGTGCAAGGAGGTGCAGCGCGGTGCAGACCCTCCCACCTGCTCTCACCTCCTTCTGCCCCCCACTCACTCCTCCCAGCTCCCCACTCAACCCCGCCTGCCACCCACCCACCTCCTGCCGCCCACTCACCTCATCCTGCCGCCCAATCACCTCCTCCTGCTGCTCACTCACCTCCTCCTGCCGCCCACTCACCTCCTGCCGCCGCCCACTCACCTCCTGCCGCCGCCCACTCAACCCTCCTTGCCGCGCACTCACACCCTGTGACCCACGCACCTCCTGCGGAGGCTATCAGAGGAGTCTTTCCGCATGAGCGCGCCCAGCAGCTCCCTCAGCAGCCCCGTGCTCTCCGCCACTGACACCTGCCTCCGAGGCCCCCCACCTCCTGCCCCCCCACCCCCTGCCCCGCCTCCTAGCCCCTCCCTGCTGCTTGTGTCGGAGAGGGACGAGTGGCCAATCACGTCGCTCCACGTCACCTCGCCCGCGTCGTCAGAGGAGGGAGTGTCAATGGAGGTGGGCGAGGAGGAGGAGGAGAGGTGCTGCAGCTGCAGGAATGCCACTAGGACCACCTGGGGAGAGGTGGAGCACAGGGGAAAGAGGAGCGGAGGGGAGAGAGGAGCGGATGGGAGAGAAGACGAGGTGAAGGGGGGGCGGAATATGGAAAGTGAACGACCTGTGGTCCTCTGGCGCACACGTGGGGAGGTGCTACAGGTGAGAGACAGCACAGGGGCGAGAGAATGGGAAACGAGAGGATACAAAGGAAAGGATGCAGTCGGCAAAGGAACAATCACAATGTCACATGGCAGTAGATGACATGGCATGGCAGTAGGTGACATGGCAGTAGGTCACATGGCAGCAGGTGACACCACATGGCAGCAGGTGACACCACATGGCAGCAGGTGACACCACATGGCAGCAGGTGACACCACATGGCATTCACTACCTGGGAGATGGGCTTGGCGAGGGTGAGGGGAGTGTGAGGTGCAGCGATGGCTCTCAGACACGCGGAGAGCAGCCTGCACGCAGCGCAGCAGGGGGAGGGAAGCTTGCCGTTATACACATTGGGAAGGGAGTGCTGACGCAAAGAAGAGAAACAATGTAGAGGGTGGGTGGGACAGGCAGGCAGGCAGGCATGGCGACTAAAGCCCAGACTCACTGCAGCAAGGCTTCCAGCCTGGCATGTGGTGGCAGCAGATCAAATCTTCTGGAGAGAGCCATTTGCAGCAGCTGTGCCCACGCCAGAGCCACATGCTGCTGCGCTGCTGCCTCCTCCTCCACTCGGTTGCGCCGCCACACGAACCTCAACGCCTCCCTCACTGCCTCCTGCCGCACCTCTGCCGAACCTGCTGCCGAGCCTGCCACCCCCAGGTTAGGGCCTGGGAGAAACGGTGCTCCCGGACCTCGCTGTGCTTCCAGCAAGGCAAACCTCTGATGGCCAATCCAAACCATGTCACATCGTGCCATGCCATGCGATGCCATAACACAAAAGACGGGGTTGCGAATGAGATGATAAAAAGGAGTGGGCTCGATTGCAGATGCTAAAATAGGAGAAGGGGGAAGGATTGAAAGCAGGTAAAGCGAGGGTGGGAGAGGAGTGTTGAGTGACAGTATCAGAAAGCATTTCAATGAGTATCAGCAAGGCCAGCACGCACGTGGGTGAGGATGTGTGAGAGAGCACGCAGGTCCACAAGGCGGTCGCCCCTCTCATTCACTTCAAACACGCCCCCCTCCGCCACTCCTGCTGCTGTCCCCAGCAGCTCCTCCAGCTGCAGTGGGTAGCGGAGGAGGGAAGAGACAAGGGGAGGTGAGTGCGGGGGTGGGTTGGGGGGAGGAGGTTTGGAGAGAGGTGAGGCGTGAGAGATAGTGAGAAGGGGAAACTGAGGGCCGTGAGCTCATCCTTTCAGACTTTCAAGCACGCCCCTAGCTAGCACCCACTGTTTCTGCCATTCCCTTCCCAGCACCCCCTCCAGCCCAGCTGGCACGAGAGGCGAGAAGGGAGGCGAGAGGGTGATCCGCGCGAGAGCACCCTAGTCAGTCACTATGAATCTAAAGCATGCAGCGTTGCTGCTGTGCCTCTAACGCATGCACCTGGGGGAGGGAGGGAGGTCACCTGCAGCTGCTGGTGCACGGCAGCGATGTGCGGCGGGAAGCTGGGGGCGACGTCCGGCAGGGCGAAGAGGAACAACTCCAACAGCTGAGTCGCCTGCCATGCCAGGGGCGCGTGCAGCAGTGGAGGGGTGGGTGGGAGGGAGAGGGTGCAGGAGGGCGAAAAGGACGATGTAAGCAGTCAGTATGTAGCACAGTGACGACGGTTCGAGGTGCCACCGCACTGCAAAAACGGTGTGAGAGGCGCGTGTTTGGACCAAGTTAGAACAAGAAGCGCGAGCAACACAAACAGGCAGCCCGATTCATTAGAAGAAAACCGAAAGTCTCATCCCTCGCCCAGCCCAGTGGCAGCACTGCTTGCTATGAGTCTTGCTCATGCCTCCTGTGACTCACCCCCAGCACACCTCCCCTCACACCCTCTGCCTGCTGCTCCCCTCCTCCCCACACCACCAGCGCACCATTCCCCCCTTCCCCCACTTCCTCTGCCCCCCCCACACCCCCGTCTGCCATGAACAGTGCCGACATAATCTGCCGGCAGATCTCCAGCTGCCGCCCGGCGGTGGCAGAGTGGGCGGCATGGTGGGAGTGGTGGTGCTTGTGGGCGTGCGGGGCAGGGGGCGTTGTGTGGAGGGCCAGCGCCAGCAGCTTCAGCAGCCACGCACGCTGCAGGGAGGGGCGAGGGGTGTTTTGGAGGGGGGATGGGGGTGAGGGTTGAAGGGCGAGGGGCGAGGGGCGAGGGGCGAGGATAAATGTGAGGGGGGTGAGGGTGAAGGGTGAGGGGTTTTGGAGAGTGAGTAAGGGATGTGAAGTGTTCCGGAGGAAGAGATGGGGGATGGGGTAGCAAAGGAGGATGGGAAATGGCAGCGAATGGAAAAAGGAGAATAAAACGCTGCTACGGGAAACCGCAGACACATAGAGAGTCATCATGGGTGAGAGCAGAAGAATGCATACGAGGTATAGCTGAGGTAGGTAGTGATGCGTTGACGATCCTCATGGGGGCAATCACAAACATCCAGCCCACCAATGGCTCGTAACCAGACCGGACGACTCACGACGACCCCCCTCACAGCCCCCCTCACAACCCCCCAGATCCCAAAAGGCAATCCTAGATTTGATACTCACCCCACCCAGCGCTGCTCACCCCACCCACACCACACCCCTCTCACACCTCACTCACCTCGTGCAGGGCCGCCACGCGGTGGCCGGGGCAGCTGCTGCGGTGAGGAAGAGGCGCTGAGAGTGCGGAGGAGAGCAGCGGAGCAAAGAAGCTCAGCGGCTTTGCCTGCAGCAGCACTGCTGTGGGCGCTGACGTGGCGGGGTCTGCTGCTAGGTGGTACAGCACTCGCACGCTCATCTCCCGCAGGCGCGCCAACCGCAGGCTGACACGTGGCGGTGCGGTGGCGTCTGATTGGTCGGAGTCGGCGTCTGCTCCTGTGGAGAGCACAAGGTCGAGGAGAATGCGGAGGGCGCTGGCGGGGGGCGTGGGGGGGGAACGGGTGGGGGAGGGTGGGGAGGGAGTGGAGGGGGAGTGGAGAGGGAGTGGAGGGGGAGCAGGATGGGGTTAGTGGAGGGGGAGGAAGTGGGAGGGAGGAGTGGAGGGGAAGAGGGGGAAAAGACAGGAAGGGGAGGGAGAGGAGGGTTTGTTGGTAATATGTAAGAGCAGATGCATGCACGGGCAAGAGCACTTGGCGCGAGGTAGGGTTGGAGAAGGAAGGGAGTGAGATGCACTGTGGAATTGATGGCATACGCCGGACTTGATGCAGCACATGCAGTGCAGCAGAAAACAGAAAGGACTAGTTGATGTGGACTGGTTGATTTGGACTAGTTGATGTGGACTGGTTGATTTGGACTAGTTGATTTGGACTAGTTGATGTGGACTAGTTGATTTGGACTAGTTGATTTGGACTAGTTGATTTGGACTAGTTGATTTGGACTAGTTGATTTGGACTAGTTGATTTGGACTAGTTGATTTGGTTGGACTAGTTGATTTGGTTGGACTAGTTGATTTGGACTAGTTGATTTGGACTAGTTGATTTGGACTAGTTGATTTGGACAAGTTGATTTGGACTAGTTGATTTGGACTAGTTGATTTGGACTAGTTGATTTGGACTAGTTGATTTGGACTAGTTGAATTGGACTAGTTGATGTGGACTAGTTGATTTGGTTGGACTAGTTGATTTGGACTAGATGATTTGGACTAGTTGATTTGGACTAGTTGATTTGGACTAGTTGAGTTGGACTAGTTGATTTGGACTAGTTGATTTGGACTAGTTGATTTGGACTAGTTGATTTGGACTAGTTGAGTTGGACTAGTTGATTTGGACTAGTTGAGTTGGACTAGTTGATTTGGACTAGTTGATTTGGACTAGTTGATTTGGACTAGTTGATTTGGACTAGTTGATTTGGACTAGTTGATTTGGACTAGTTGATTTGGACTAGTTGATTTGGACTAGTTGATTTGGACTAGTTGATTTAGACTAGTTGATTTGGACTAGTTGATTTGGACTAGTTGATTTGGACTAGTTGATTTGGTTGGACTAGTTGAGTTGGACTAGATGATTTGGACTAGTTGATTTGGACTAGTTAATTTGGACTAGTTGAGTTGGACTAGTTGATTTGGACTAGTTGATTTGGACTAGTTGATTTGGTTGGACTAGTTGATTTGGACTAGTTGATTTGGACTAGTTGATTTGGACTAGTTGATTTGGTTGGACTAGTTGATTTGGACTAGTTGATTTGGACTAGTTGATTTGGACTAGTTGATTTGGTTGGACTAGTTGATTTGGACTAGTTGATTTGGACTAGTTGATTTGGACTTATAGACTCGAGAACGCAACAGAGCAATAACAACACAGTGGCTGGCACGGCACCTCGCCCAACTGTCCACACACACGGCCCACCTGAAGCGGCGGTTGGGCTGCAGCAGGGAGGCAGCGAGCGGCCTGTCGACATCAAAGCCCAGCAGCATGTGCGCCAGTGTGGGCCGCTGCCTTCTTAGCGACGCCAGCAGCAGCTGCGCGGAGCAAGGGAGGTGAGTCGAGAGGGAGGTGAGCACAGTAGGCGCATTGGACAGACGAAACAGCCACGGGGTGGAAAGCATTCATTGACTGAGTTTTCCACGCGGACTCACTCACCTGGAGAATGAGCGTGGCACAGTCCGTCTCCTCGCTCTCCTCCCCGCATTCCTCCTCCTCTCCTCCACCATCCTTACCCACGCCAGCAGCGTCACCATGAGCAGCAACGCCCTGTACAGTCACGGTGCTGGCGCTGACGTCAAGGCACTCTGCAAAGTCCTCCACCAATCGCTGCACCATGCCCGCCTCCAATGCCATCGCGACAAGTGGCACGCCACGCGCACTGTAAGCGGTAGGGGCAAGAGGATGCAGCAGGAGGGTGAAGTGAACAGGAAAGCTTTCTCCATTCCGGTTGAGTAGTTACCACTTGGCAAAACACCTGAAAAGCCACCTGGTCATGGTCTGATCGGATCAATGCTGGCCTCCACGTGGCAGCACACAGGCACACACAATCCACCGCTAGCTGCGGCCACAACACGCTCTCACGTCACCTGCTGCCTCACGCCATCTGCTGCCTCAAACACACAACATGGGGCGGCCAGAAAGCTTGCCTGCACTGGTGGAAGCACAGAGCGCTTCTTCCGGCCCACAATCACGAGTCCCACGAGGCTCATGAGTCAAGAAAAGCGCTTCTTACAACCACAAGGCTGAGGTGAGGTGAGGTGCGGTGAGGTGAGGTGAGGTGAGGTGAGGTGAGGTGAGGTGCACAGTCTGGTTACGAGTCAAGAAAGCAATCACCCGAAGCCGCGGGGCAGGTTCCCCCTCGTCCATAGGCCATGGGTCACCTGAAGACGCTTGTGAGCTCGATCGCCGACCGTTGGATGGCATCCGACGGCTGGTAGCGCACGAAGGACATGACAGCTGTCACGAGCGCCACGTCATCCGCGAGCACGAGGTGCAGCGGGCGCACGGCGGGCTGCCAGGTGTCGGCCAGGGATTGGTCGAGGGTGAGCGCGAGGAGCAGCAGGCGCAGGCAGGCAGCAACGGTGTCTTCTAGGGCGAATGAGAGCGCCTGCGGGCGCAGCGCACGCTCCTCTAGAAGGGCATCTGGGCCCGCTGTGATGATGGCGATGATGTTGCGCAGCGCTGGGCCTGCTGATAGGAAGTCCTGTGTGGGGGAAAGGGGGAGGGGGAAGGAGAGGAAGGAAAGGGGCGAATGGGGGAGTCACTTGAGAGAGATTTCAAAGAGACTCCAATATGACGGCGTCAGAGTCTTCGAGAGCAAAGCGCCTGGGGAGGGTGCAGCGGGAGCTCCTCTAGAAGGGTGTCGAGGAAGGCTGTGATGATGGCGATGATGTTGCGCAGCGCTGGACCTGCTGATAGGAAATCCTGTTGGGGGAAAAGGGGAGGATGGGGAAAGAGTGGAGGAGGGACAGTGTGTTGGAGGGCGAATGAGAACACTGGGGGCGCAGCAGGGCCCGTTCCTCCATGAATGCGTCGGGGGGGGCCGCTGTGATGATGGCATTCATGTTGCGCAGCGCTGCGCCTGCTGATAGGAGATCCTGTGTGGGGGGGAGGAAGGGGTAGAGAGGGGAAAAGGGGAGGGGAAGGTGTGAAAGCTAAGGGGCAGAAGGCGGAGTCACTTTTGAGAGGCTTTGAATGTGACTCCAACATGGCAGCAACGGCGTGTTGGAGGGCGAATGGGAGCGCCTGGGGGAGAGCGCAGCGCAGCGCTTGCTCCTCTAGGAGGGCATTGGGGCCGGCTGAGGTGACGGCTGGGATGATGCTGGTTGCCCAAGGTGGGTGGGGCCTGCTCTGCTCATCGGAGCCCTGTAGGGGTGCGGAGTGTGGAAAGGGAAAGCGGGAACCGTGGGCTGAAAGTTGAGAGGGTTGTGGGGATGAAGAGAGGGGCGGGAGGGGGAAACGTAGGGGGGAAAGGGGCGCACGAGGAGCTTGAGAGGGGCATGAGGAGGTTGAGAGGGGCATGAGGAGGTTGAGAGGGGCTGGGTCGAATTGCATGTGGTGGGGATGAAGGTGTGGGTCCGTGGTTCACTGGCGCAGACACAGTGACAGACAGTGCAGGCCAAGGTGAAAGCAACGCAAACTGGCGCACACTTGCATGTGAGCTGCATGCACGGCCTGCCTGCCTGCCTCCCCCCACCCACCTTCATCAGCAGCAGCCCCGGTGTGGCACCAGCTGGCAGCAGCCCATTGCCCGACGAGGAGGAGGCAGCAGAGAGGGCGGTGAGAGGCGGTGCAGAGGGGAGGGGGGAGCGGTGCAGGAGGAGGAGGGAGAGGTGGAAGAGGGAGAGTGAGGCGAGCAGCAGCTGCCACATCTCGTCTGCCCGCGCGTACACTCGGCGCGTGTACGGCACAAACACACTGCTGGTCACGAACCGGAAATAGTCGAGGAACCTGTGGGTGGGCAGGATGGGTGGGTGTGGGCGGGATGGGTGGGTGTGGAAAGGGAAGGGTGGTGAGGTACGAGGAGCAGAGCAGAACAAACGCTTGGGAAAGAAAATGCTTAGAAGCGACTCAGGTAAGTAATCGATGATGGATGGCGGATATAAAGAAACCAACAACGAATGACAAAACTGAAAGGAAAGGGAAGGGAGGTCGAGAAAGAAGAGCAAGTGGCACAGAGGAAATGAGAGACCTGGCGGGGCGGGAGAGGGGGTCGAGGGCGAGCAGTGTGTTGTGCAGGCGCAGGTAGGAGAGCGTTGAGGGGTACTCCTCCACCCTCGCCTCCACCTCGCTCAGCTCCATGCCCATGTCGTACGGCGCTGTAGTGCGGCGCTGCACGGGGAGAGGGGGATGGTGTGGCGGTGGGGCAAGGCATAGAATTAGCATCACTCAGAAAAGCGCAGCACAGGGAGGGGTACTCCTCCACCCTCGAAACCCCCTCGTTGAACTCCATGCCCATGTCGCATGAGGCTGTAGTGGGGCGCTGGATGGGGAGAGAAATGGGGGTAGCGTGGCATGGCACAAGGTGTGTGTCACTGTCACATCACATCACATCACATCACATCACATCACATCACATCACATCACATCACATCACATCACATCACATCACACACTCACATGGATAGTGGACAGTCAATGCACGAGGGGCATGGATAGTGGACAGTCAATGCACGAGGGGCATGGATAGTGGACAGTCAATGCACGAGGGGCATGGATAGTGGACAGTCAATGCACGAGGGGCATGGATAGTGGACAGTCAATGCACGAGGGGCATGGATAGTGGACAGTCAATGCACGAGGGGCATGGATAGTGGACAGTCAATGCACGAGGGGCATGGATAGTGGACAGTCAATGCACGAGGGGCATGGATAGTGGACAGTCAATGCACGAGGGGCATGGATAGTGGACAGTCAATGCACGAGGGGCATGGATAGTGGACAGTCAATGCACGAGGGGCATGGATAGTGGACAGTCAATGCACGAGGGGCATGGATAGTGGACAGTCAATGCACGAGGGGCATGGATAGTGGACAGTCAATGCACGAGGGGCATGGATAGTGGACAGTCAATGCACGAGGGGCATGGATAGTGGACAGTCAATGCACGAGGGGCATGGATAGTGGACAGTCAATGCACGAGGGGCATGGATAGTGGACAGTCAATGCACGAGGGGCATGGATAGTGGACAGTCAATGCACGAGGGGCATGGATAGTGGACAGTCAATGCACGAGGGGCATGGATAGTGGACAGTCAATGCACGAGGGGCATGGATAGTGGACAGTCAATGCACGAGGGGCATGGATAGTGGACAGTCAATGCACGAGGGGCATGGATAGTGGACAGTCAATGCACGAGGGGCATGGATAGTGGACAGTCAATGCCCGAGGGGCAAGTGGGGATACTTGGAGGTGGGCTGGCCGGTGCGGAGAGGAAGGGGGAAACGTGCGTGAAAGAAACTCAAGGTACATTCTAACAATGCGCGCATTGCAGGGGACATCTCGGGGCGGGTTGGGTTGTTGTGTTGTGATTTGAGGAGCCTGAGTGAAGGGCAAGGTGCAGAGCAGAAAACGACCCCTTCCTCCCCGCTCTCACCTGCTCCGTCGTCCCCCATGGCTCGGCGTCAGCAGCAGGCGAGGCAGGACCCACGGAGAAGGGTGGGAGAGGTCGCAAAATTCATCCAATGTCCATACGCACACAGAAAGACAGGCATACAGAGGAGCATGGCCGTACACACCCATACACGCCCATACACGCCCAAGCACACACACTACGTGCCTGTTGCTCCTCCATGGTTGCAGAAGCCGAGGGCGGCAGATCGTAAAATTCCTCCAGCGCCCACGTCCTTGCTGCCAGCGCTGCCGCCGCCGCCCCCGTCAGCCCCGCCGCTGCTGCCGCCAGTGCCATCAGATCCCCTGCTGCCGCCCCTCCACCAGCAGCACCAGCAGCCGCTCCTGCTGCCATGGCACCACTGAAACCAACAGCTGCTGTGGTGACCCCAGCAGCAGGGGCGGTGGAGGTGGTAAGCGCAGCAACGGTGGCGGGGGCGCCGAGGAAGGCAGCAATGGCGGAGCGGAGGGCGCCCTTGAGGGCGGGGGGGACGGCGGCGTGGGGGAGCAGGCGGAAGAGCGCGTCAAAGAAGGCGTCGGAGAAGAGGCGCGTGCGCAGGTGCGGGGGCGAGTGGCGCAGCACCTGGTGCAGACACATGAGGTATGCCTCCAGCACTGCCGCGTCCTCTGGGGGGAAGAGGGCGCTGTGGTGCTGCTGGTGGTGATGGTGGTGCTGGTGGTATGGTAGGGAGGGGTCCTGGAAGGCTTGGCGCAGGCGATCGTCATATGCCTGGGAGGGGTGAGGAGGGAAGGGGAGAGAGACGCTTGACTAAGAGGCGAGTGAGGATTGTCTGGTGTGAGAGCTGTGCTGTGTTGGGTGGTGGAATGCATTAACCAGTGGAATGCATTAACCAGTCGAATGCATTAACCAGTGGAATGCATTAACCAGTGGAATGCATTAACCAGTGGAATGCATTAACCAGTGGAATGCATTAACCAGTGGAATGCATTAACCAGCGGAATGCATTAACCAGTGGAATGCATTAACCAGTGGAATGCATTAACCAGTGGAATGCATTAACCAGTGGAATGCATTAACCAGTGGAATGCATTAACCAGTGGAATGCATTAACCAGTGGAATGCATTAACCAGTGGAATGCATTAACCAGTGGAATGCATTAACCAGTGGAATGCATTAACCAGTGGAATGCATTAACCAGTGGAATGCATTAACCAGTGGAATGCATTAGCCAGTGGAATGCATTAACCAGTGGAATGCATTAACCAGTGGAATGCATTAACCAGCGGAATGCATTAACCAGTGGAATGCATTAACCAGTGGAATGCATTAACCAGCGGAATGCATTAACCAGTGGAATGCATTAACCAGTGGAATGCATTAACCAGTGGAATGCATTAACCAGTGGAATGCATTAACCAGTGGAATGCATTAACCAGTGGAATGCATTAACCAGTGGAATGCATTAACCAGTGGAATGCATTAACCAGCGGAATGCATTAACCAGTGGAATGCATTAACCAGTCGAATGCATTAACCAGTGGAATGCATTAACCAGCGGAATGCATTAACCAGTGGAATGCATTAACCAGTGGAATGCATTAACCAGTGGAATGCATTAACCAGTGGAATGCATTAACCAGTGGAATGCATTAACCAGTGGAATGCATTAACCAGTGGAATGCATTAACCAGCGGAATGCATTAACCAGCGGAATGCATTAACCAGTGGAATGCATTAACCAGTGGAATGCATTAACCAGTGGAATGCATTAACCAGTGGAATGCATTAACCAGTGGAATGCGTTAACAAAGGAATGCATTAAACAGTGGAATGCATTAACCAGTGGAATGCATTAACCAGTGGAATGCATTAACCAGTGGACACACATACTTCACGGGTTGGGCCAGGGCCAGCCCGAGACCGGCCCGACCAAGCTGGCCCTCTTGTCGGGCTGGCCACGGGCCCCCTCGACCCAAGCCGACCTGGCAAAAAACCCGGCCCATGGTCCTGGAACCATATGCGGGCCGGACTGCGGTCGGCCTGGGTCGAGTCGGGGCAGCTGTGGCCCAAGGTGTGCGCACCCAAGGAGGGTTGCAAGAGTTGCTGGTAAAGGGGCAAATGAAAGAGCCGAGTTGCGTGCACGCTGCTAAAGCCTTCTCTGACTTCAAAGTGCCGCGCAAGACTAGGCCGCGTGCCCACTGGACTGCGGCTCAGGCCGGTTCGGGTCGGTTCGGTCGGTTCAGGCCGGCCCAGGACTGGCCTGAGTGGGGCCGACTTTCCAAAAAGCTGGCCCCGATCACCCTTGAGTCGGGCCCGGCCAGACCCCTGGTCATGCCTAAACGGAAACGGAACTACAACTGAGTCAGTTCAGCAAAACATACTATGCTACAGACAGACCTGCACTGCATTGTACCCGCAATGATTGCATTGTACCCGCAATGATTGCATTGTACCCGCAATGATTGCATTGTACCCGCAATGATTGCATCGCACCTGCAATGATTGCATCAGCGCATGCCAGCTGACAGACCGCAGATGCCGCCCATTCATGAGCTCATGAACCTGCCGAGAACCTTCCTCTCCTGTGGCCTGCATGGGGCACACGTGGAACAAGGAGTCACACAGAAGCAAAGCAAAGCAAAGAAAAGCAGGTGCAGAACAGGAAATGGGTTGACTGGACCCGTGGAACCGAGTGGAACAAAATGGACAGAGGATAAGGAGTCACATGGCCAGGTTGTGCCGCAGAGAGAGAAGCTGTAGCGATGAAAGAAGTGACTTTCGAGGGAACGCAAAAGGAACCACACCAGAGCACAAGGAGTAACATCGCAAGGCTGTGCCGGGCACCACAGCGCACACACAGCGCACACACACAGCGCACACACACAGCGCACACACAGCGCACACACACAGAGCACACACAGCGCACACACAGCACAGACACACAGAGCACACACAGCGCACACACACAGTGCACACACAGCGCACACACATACACACAGCACACAGTACACAAACACACACACACACACATGCACACACACACACACACATGCACACACACACATGCACACACACATACAGACAGCACAAAGCGCACACATATACACTCCGCATGCCTCTTGCTCCATACACATCCCCCACTCCACTCCACAACGCCTGCACCAGCGGGTTCACGCCCTCAAAGAAACAAGCAACCCCCCCTCGTGCTTCCCTCACTCACGCCCAAAGTGCCACACTACTTCCCTTCCCTCCCCCACCATCGCTATTCCCTCCATTCACCCCTTGCCCTAAATCCCCATCCCATCCACACCTTCCCCTCCATCCCCTCTCCCCTTCCCACTACCAGCTGCGCCAGCAGGTTCAGAAACGCCACCAGCGAGGCACCGCCCAACTCTCAACCCCCATGCGCCCACCACAGCCCGCCACAGCACACCATTCCCCCCAATCGCCATTCTTCTCGCCCCACCACCCTCCCTCCCATCCCCCCCCCCCCCCCACCACCTACCAGCTGTGCCAGCAGGTTCAGAAACGCCACCAGTGACGCCGCCCCTCTATGCTCCTCGCCTACGTACATCACAAACTGCCAAAGCACGCCGCCTCCTGCCATCAGCTCCGGCTGGCGCGCATACACCGCCCCCACCAGCTGCAGCAACCCCAGATACGCCCTACCCCTCACCGCCACCTGTTCCTGTGCCTCTGCCTCCTCCCTCTGCTGCTGCCTCTGCTCTCGCTCATCCTCCTCCTCTAAACTCCGAGCCACGCTGCGCCCCATGCTGTGGGGGTACGCGCCAGCTAAGCGCGCAGCCTTGTCCACGTCAGCGTGAGCTGGACGGCCGGAAGATGACGTGGCGGGGAGGAAAGGGAGGGAGAGGGAGGCGTGGCGCAGCTCCCGGATTCGCTCGCGCGTGATTGGCTGGAGGAAGAAAGACGAGAGGAGCTTGTGGGTGTAGACCATGTAAGTGAACGTTAAATCCTCATCGTCGTTTTCAAACACAGCAGATGACATCACATGCTGCAGCAGCAGCGTCGTGGCACTTAACAAAGTCTCGTCTTTTAAACACTCCCGAGCCACTGCCACCTCATCCCCAACCACCTCCTCTCCCGAGCCTCCTGCTGCCAGGGCTGCCGCTGCAACCGAGCCTCGGCCGGAGGTTCGGGAGGGGGAGAGACTCGGGGCGGAGAAGGCTGGAAGAGTGCTGGTGTTGGCGAGGAACACGGCCCAGGCGAGGCGAATGACAGAGATGACGTCATCAGGGGCAGGGGGGGTGAGGGGCGAGGAGGTGGGTGGGGAGGAGGTGGAGGCAGAGGGGGAGGGCTGAGGGGGGAGGGAGTGCGGGCCGGATTGGAATGGGACGAGTGCGTGGGAGGATGAAGGGGCAGTGGGGGATGGTGTTGTCTTAAGTACCTGATTTGGTGAGACAGACACACAGAGTGCGGGGAGGTGGTGATGGGAAGGGGAAAATGAAAGGTTCAGCCAAGATACGTTGAAATTTCAATCAGACTGCTGGCCGTCACAGTAGACTGCTGGCCGTCACAGTAGTCTGCTGGCCGTCACATTAGTCTGCTGGCCGTCACAGTAGTCTGCTGGCCGTCACAGTAGACTGCTGGCCGTCACTGTAGACTGCTGGCTGTCACCGTAGACTGCTGGCTGTCACTGTAGACTTCTGGTCGTCACAGCATCTGGCTCCAACGTTCACCTACAGAGGACAGAAGGCAGCGCCAGAGCACTTAGGTCACTTGTCTGCTCAACTCCCGCGAGCCCCACACTCAAACCAACCGTCATTGGCAAGCTCAGCCCACCATTCTGCTCAACTGCTTGCGAAACGCCTCACTAGGTGCCATCACAGCAGGCAGGGCTACAGAGGAGGAGAGCGACGCAGGAGCAGCAGAAGAAGGCACAGCCGCCCCTCCAGAGCCCCCAGTACCCCCAGCAGCAGAGGCAGCAGCGGAGGAGGGGGAGGCGAGGGATTCGGAGAACAGGGCGTGCAGCAGCGCAAACATGAGCGTGTAAGTGATGTGCAATGTAACTGCTGCTGTGGCTTGAAAACTCACCCTGATTGAAGATTCAACAGTCAGTCACACTCACCAATCGGCTGAACTCCTTCCGAAACGCCTCATTGGGCGCGAGCACAGCAGGCAGGGCTGAAGAGACAGAAGGGGACGCAGGGGCGGCAGCAGAAGGCACAGCCGCCCCTCCAGGCCCCCCAGCAGCGGAGGCAGCGGCGGAGGAGGGGGAGGCGAGAGAGTCGGAGAGCAGGGCGTGCAGCAGCGCGAACATGAGCGTGTAGGTGATGTGCAGCGCCACCGCTGCTGTTGCCGTGCTGGCAGTTGCTACGGAGGTGACGGTGGGCACGGGTGAGGGAGCGGCAGGGAGAGAGAAGGGCGCGGGGATAGGGGGAAGGGCGAGGGCGGTGGACGAGGGCGAGGAGGAGGCAGCAGCAGCGGCGGACCAGTCACGGGCGGCATCTTGCAGCAGCTCGAATAACTCCTTGGCCTCCTTGGGGTCTGCAAGAGGGGGGAGCAGCGGGGAAGAGAGCAGAGGACGGAGGAAGGACCGTGGGGTGGAGGGGAGAGGGGGAAAGAAACATTAGGGAGAAACAGGTGACACACAACACAGCGGGTATGGAGGAAGGTGAGGAGCTGATCTGTCGTGCTCCTGCAACATCTGGAGGAGCTCCTTGGCCTCCTTGGGGTCTGTGGAGAGGAGATCAGAGACGACGGGGGAATGGGGGGGGGGGGGGGGGGACGTGGGGAAGAGATGTGTGAGGGAAGAACTGGTGATCAATGAAGGCACGCGATCCGTATGCAGACCAACGCACAGCACAGTGCACGCCGCACGGCATGAGCAGGTATTGTTGCGAGAGAGGAGAAGTAGTGGCAAGTGGAGGAGCAGCAGGAGGAAGGAGCAGCACGGCACGGACCGAGTCGGCAGAGCAGGCATGCGAGTGCGACGCACTGAGCCACGAGCAGTCTCTCCCGCTGCACCACGTCCCCCCGCCTCGCCAGCAGCCCCCTCCCATCCATCACATACTCACCCACTCCCCCTCCTCCGCCTCCCCCTCCCCCCTCCCCTCCCCCTGCCACAGGCGACGCTCCAGCAGGGGGGGCGGCCCCCGCCACCACGAGAGCTAGGCTCGGGGAGCCCGAACCAGCGGCGTCGGGTCGGTTGAGCTCCCGAAGCAGGCGGAAGAGGCGGGCGGTGAGGCCTGATTGGAGCAGCGAGTGCAGGTAGCGGCGGACGTGGTCTAGCAGTAGCGGGTCTGTGGTGCTGTCGCTCACCACTGCCACCTGCATGCGAGGGAAAGGGGGGGTGGGGGAGAGTGTGGGAGGGGAAGAATGTGACGGGGAGGAACGTGGGCGGAGAAGAATGTGGGGGGGAGAAGGAGAGGGGGGCGACAGTGGGTTGACAGTTGGGGAGTGAGAACAGGTAGCGGTGCATGGGGTCGAGCAGTACGGGGTCTGTGGTGCTGTCACCCACCCGCCCACCACTGGCACCTGCAAGGGATAGACAGAGAGAGGGCAGAACGCGAAGGAGAGGTGGGAGGAGAATCGAGTCGGCGAGTTGCGATCCAATCTGATCCAAGCCAGGCCGCATGAGTTCGGGTTCGGGTTTTGGACAAGTCTCCTCCGAAACCTGAACCTGAACCTGAAACTGAACCCTGAACCCTGAACGGACAGACAGAAAAAGGGATTGTGATGTTTGGTTTTCATAGGGTGGGAAGTGGTTGGCTGCGATAGACAAGGCCGGGCTTCGAGCGGAGGCAATGGGAGGGGGGAGGGGGAAACAGACGGACGTTGAGAGGAGGAGGCGAGGGGGGGACGGACGAACCTTGAGGAGGAGGAAGAGCGTGGAGAGTAGCGCCCGCCTCTCTGTGAACCACAGCCCTGCTGCCAGCCGCACCACGTCACTGTCCGCCCGCCCTGCTATGCCCCACTGCTTGGGGGTGATTAGTGTGACGAGCACATGAGCACCAGGAGAGGGTGAGTGAGAGAGCGATAGGCATCGCATATGTGATGGTCCAATAGGGCCCACACCACACCCACAGCACACGTCATGCTTGCCAAGCCAACACGTGTCTCATGTGGTGAATGTGGGCAAAGAGTATGGTGGGTGGGGAAAGAGACGAGAGCGTGGTGTGAATCTGGGTTCGAAGAAAACGAAATGAGGTACGCGGAGCGGAGGCGATAGCAGCCACGGGCATGTGACGTGACGAAGCATAACGCTTCATGCAATGTAGCGCGCGTGGATCACTTGATGCAATCACAGCAATCGCAAGAATACCGTCCGCGCCGCAGCGTGGCCGTCCACGCCGTCCCCTCAGAACTGAACGACCGAGAAGCGAATGTTGTGAATGAATGAAGCACAACATGAGGCACCTGGAGAGGCCCCGGCGATACCTCACTTCACACCCCAGGTGACCTCTAAGTCACTTGTGAATGAGCGAGAAGCCCATGTCCATGTTGTGAATGAGTGAAGCACAGCATGAGGCATGTAGAGTCTGGCGAGCAGGGCAGCAACGCAGTGCCTCGCTCCCCGACAATACGATACCTCACATCACACACCCCAGACATCACGGCACATCGCGGCACATCACCGCACTTCACCGCACTGCATACCTCGTGGTGTGCTGCCACGAGCAGCGCCACACAGTCCACCTCGTTGATGCCAAACGCATCGCTCAGCTGCAGCGCCAGCTGTGGGGGCCGTCAGTGCATGGGGGGAGATGGGGGGGCGGTGTGGTGTGGCGTAGCACAGGGGGGGCACGGGGGGACAGCAGAGCAACGCCAGGGCGTAAGGGTGTGGATGAAGGAGACAGTAGTAGGAAGGGTGGCAGCGCTTTGAAGGCAGCAGCAGCGCCACATAGGTCACCTCGTTGATGTCGAACGCATGGCTCAGCTTAGCTGCAGCGCCAGCTGTGGGGGCAACACATGCAGAGGGGCGGGAGGGGTGGCACCGAGGCATCACACAGAGGGGGCGGGTGGAGCAGCGCACAAGGGGCAGAACGGGTGGATCAGAAAGGTGGGCTCACCCGCACATTCCACCCCTCACCTGCACGTCCCACCCCTCACCTGCACGTCCCACCCCTCAGCACGCGTCACGAGGGGGTGGGGGGGCTCACTTGCACGTCCTTGGCGTCGAGCACAGCGGGAGGGCCGTCCGGCAGCGGCACCTCCTTGCTGCGCACCTGCGCGCGCTGCTGCTCGTCCCGGGGCTTCTTCACCAGCAGGTTCCTGAAAGCGCGGAGGGGAAGAAGAGTGGGATGGGGCGTAGGGTGGTTGGGGGTTGGGGAGATGAGGAGCGGGATCGGGGAGAAGGGGGAACGGTTAGAAGGGAAGGGTGGCGGAGGGAGGGCCGTGGGTTGGGTTGATTCATTGAGGAGCAAGCAGAGCAGCTGCGCCTCCTTCGAGTGCGCCACTGCTCATTCCGCGGTTTCTCTGCCAGGAGGTTCCTGCGCGCGCGAAGCGTGCATGCATAAAGCAGGGGAGGGGGAGGGGGGGAGGGGGGAAGGGGGGAGAGTGGAGGGGGAAAGGGGGAGAGGGGAGAGGGGATGGGGAGGAGGAGGTGGGGTGGGTGAAGGGAAAGAGGAGGGGTGGATTCTTTTATCTCAGCAGGCACGTGCACCTCGTCGTTGCAGTCCTAACCCTCTCGCCACGTCACACTAGGTCGAATTGAAACCCTAACGACGAAGTTTCTGTAGGCGGTGCGATTCTCGCCATAACGCATCGCGGGCGATCGTCAACCGCCATGCGCAAATTTCACGGCACACACCTAATGCCGTGACGTCATAAGCTAACGTCTGACGTCAGACCTGAGGTCATCTTCGACGAGAGAGAGCGCGTAAAAGAGGTCGCCGCGCTGTGCCGCCGTCAGCTGCTTGCCCCGCCGGCCGTCAGGCCCCAGTGCCGCCTCTACCGTCTGAAGCACCGACCGGTACGACACCATTGCTCCCTGTCGTCAATGACGTCTGCTAGCCGTTATCCTTTTAACGAAATTTTGCGATGCGACGCGAAAAACTGCGTCGGGATGGGTGGACGACGAGACGGGCTAGTGGGAGAAGCTGGGATGAGAGGGGAAGGCGAAGCGGGGGAAAGGGAGCGACAGCCGTGAACGTGGTTGCTCGCGAGCGCGAGAAAGGAATCAGATCATGGCGAACTTCGCTGGTATCGATGCGGCAAACCTTATCGGCACGTGGCAATGGCGAAGCTTTGGAATGGAGTGCGGTGCGACCGTGGAATTAGGCACGGGAAGTCGCGTCTCGGCTCCACCTGGAATTTCGATCTAAATGGGCCTGGCGGGGCGGGGTTTGGGGAAGGGGATCTGTGGTGGTGCGTGCGTGCATTAGGGCGTGTCCAGCACGTACATGTAGAGTTCATTATCCCCTTTAGTTACCACATTCCGGGTTGTAACACTGCATTTACCAAAAGGTCGGACACGATCAGCTTTCATTCACAAAACGGCAATCCCCCTGCACGTACCTCGAATCGTCTGACTCACGTTATTGGAATCAGCGTGCGCAAGAACAAGGGTACAGCATTGCGTCGTGCCCACAACAGTATTTTTTTTGTTCAAGCATGGAATTCCTGCGCGACGCTAGACGATGGAACCAGTTACCTCGGCCGTGTTCTGTAGGCGAATCAGCCCGGATGGCGAGAGGCTCGGGCTGATGCGGAGATTGAGACATTCATGGGCTTTGTTCTGTATGCTTTAAATTTCCAGAAACAGGGTCTGCAGAATCATCGTTGATACGTTGTCTACTGCTTATCAAGGTTTGGTGATAAGAGAGGTCCTGCCTCTTAGAATTTGATATGATTGAGTAGGATCGTAATACTTAGGATGGTAGCTTCCTGTCGTAGCGGAAGTCTTGTATGAATTAAAGCCAGTGAAAGAGGCTTTGTCTGAGCTTAATAAGCAAAGCCCATGTAGTGATATGTTTCAGGATCAATGTCTCTGAAATCAGATATCAGGGTATATTATAAAATGACAAGCATACAGAATATATAGCTAGAGTAAAGTACCTGTTCGCCTACTGTACTGTATTATTCACGCTATTCCTGTTCTGAAACGGTACGTGACTATTTGCGAGGCCTATAGCTACGTGCTAACGTCATCCTAGGGCGCGTAGCGCTTTGCTGACGTCAGCCTATCGGTACTTTACTATTACGTGCGAAGTCTCACACTGTACTAACTGTACTACATGAATTCCTTGAAGTGCTTAAGTCTCGATATTATCTCAACACTGCCAAACCTGTTTGCGCCAAATTTAACGCTTCAGCCTGCATAACACCACTTTTGGGGCACACAAATTTAATCGTCTGCTGGTTCCATAATGTTGCTTCGCCTCGCAAATGGTCGCACAACTTGTGTGCGGCCAATTCTTCCTCGAGGGTTAGCTTCAACCAACGCACAGGTTATGCAGGGCAGCATCAACACGCCCTAAAAATAGTGCGTGCATAGCGACTATGCCCTCAACAAAAGCCCACGTCAAATTTAACTGCTTGGTGTGGTAGGGTGTCCCCTCCAGAAGGTTTTGAGGGAAGACCCAACCAGATCGCGGGCAGCGCCGAAATGTGTTTGTGTAGCAAATTGAGCAGCACAAGCACATTTCGATTTTGCAAATATGTGCGGGGCTTCATGATAATAAACGTGCAGCAAATTTGATTGGTTGCGTCTCGAAGCTACTCGGAAATACATGACGGTGCATTTTATGCGGAGGCAAATCGGCCTGCAGAAAAAGGCCATGACATTAAGGTTCGGGATTGAGACATTCAAGTTACTGGCATTGAATTCCAATAGCCAAAATGTTACAGGGCAAAACCGCAAGAGTTTCACTTGTCAGAACATTATAGCTTATACATTTGTGTAGGATGTAGTGGGGTAGCCCATAAGGGGTACAACCCAATTAGGGTTAGTACTTGTACCCAACTGTTTGCTAGTTCATTCATTCTCGTTCACAACATTCTAACATGGTTTCAGAGCAGGTCCCCTAGGACCGGTCTGTTTTTGGGCCCACCACCTACTGCCCTGCTAGCCTAGGCCCACGCCCGTTGCCCCTAGGCCCCGGCCCGTCGCCACCCCTAGCTCGCCCCCCCCCCCCCCCCCCCCCCCCCCCCCCCCCCGTCGACCCCGTCGCCCCTAGCTCGGCCCCTCGGCCCCGTTGGCCCCGTCGACCCCGTCGCCCCTAGCCGCGCCCCTCGGCCCCGTTGGCCCCGTCGACCCCGTCGCCCCTAGCCGCGCCCCTCGGCCCCGTTGGCCCCGTCGACCCCGTCACCCCTAGCCGCGCCCGTCGACCCCGTCGCTCCTAGCAGCGCCCCTCGGCCCCGTTTGCCCCGTCGACCCCGTCGCCCCTAGCCGCGCCCCCCTCGGCCCCGTTGGCCCCGTCGACCCCGTCGCCCCTTGCCGCGCCTCTCGGCCCCGTTGGCCCCGTCGACCCCGTCGCCCCTAGTCGCGCCCCTCGGCCCCTAGGCCCCGTCGCCCCTAGCGTTGGCCCCGTCGCCCCTAGCTTGGCCCCTCGGCCCCGTCGCCTCGGCCCCTTGGCTCCGTCGACCCCGTCGCCCCTAGCTCGGCCCGTCGGCCCCGTTGGCCCCGTCGACCCCGTCGCCCCTTGCCGCGCCCGTCGACCCTGTCGCCCCTAGCAGCGCCCCTCGGCCCCGTTGGCCCCGTCGACCCCGTCGCCCCTAGCCGCGCCCCTTGGCCCCGTCGGCCCCGCTGCCCCTAGCTCGGCCCCTCGGCCCCGTTGGCCCCGTCGACCCCGTCGGCCCTAGCCGCGCCCCTCGGCCCCGTTGGCCCCGTCGCCCCTAGCGTCGGCCCCGCCGCCCCTAGCTCGGCCCCACGGCCCCGTTGGCCCCGTCGACCCCGTCGCCCCTAGCCGCGCCCCTCGGACCCTCGGCCCCGTCGCCCCTATCGTCGGCCCCGTCGCCCCTAGCAGCGGCCCCGGTGCCCCGTGACTCCTTGGCCCCTCGCCCCCCCCCCCCCACCCTCGTGTTTGGCCCCTCGGCCCCTAGGCCCCTCGGCCCCGCCCCTCGGCCCCCCGGCCCCTAGGCCCCCCCTTGGCCCCTCGCCCTCGTGTTTGGCCCCTCGGCCCCGCCCCTCGGCCCCTCGGCCCCTAGGCCTCTTGGCCCCTCGGCCCCTAGTCCCCTCGGCCCCTCGGACCCTAAGACCCTTGGCCCCTCGGCCCCGCCACCCTCGTGTTTGGCCCCTCGGCCCCGCCCCTTGTCCCCTTGGCAACTGATCCTACTGCTACTACTGCTGCTGCTATTGCTGCTACTGCTGCTCCTGAGTGCTGCGCCACTATGGCTTTGCTTAGAGTTCTAGCGTTCGATCATGAGGGCAGACCGGTTGCATTTGACACGTGGCATGACGATCTTCAACTGTACCTACTGAGCGATATTAAGGACAGTGTCTCACTGTTTGACCACGTGTCCGGTGTCGCTCCAGCCCCCCCCACCACAGCTGACAGTGCGACTCGTTCCCAGTGGCTATCTCGTGACGCTACTGCCCGCTTAGCCATTCGCAACCACCTGCCTGCGACCGAATGTACTCACTTTGGACAGAACAGGACAGCACAGGCCCTGTACAACGCTGTAGTTGCTCGCTACTCCTCCCCTGCCACTGCCTCTCTAGGCAGACTGCTACTGCCCTACCTGTTCCCTGAGCTGTCGGCGTTTGCCACAGTAGCAGACCTGGTTACCCACCTGCGCACTAGCGACGCTCGCTACCACGCTACCGTCCCTGCTGAGTTCCTTGCCACGAACCAGCCCCCCATGTTCATCACCCTCTACTTCATGGTCTCTCGCCTCCCTGACTCTCTTCGCTGTATCAGGGACCACTTTCTCTCACTTGACCCCACCTCCCTCACTGTTGACCTCCTTGAGCAGCATCTCCTTGCAGCTGAGACTAGTGCAGTTGCTGTAGGTGCTGCTCGTGGCACTCTGCGCTCGCCCTTCTTTGAGGGGTGCTCCCCCTCCCCCCTTTCCCACTCCTTCGCCACTGCTGCTGCTGCAGACGTCTCTGTTACTGAGGACGTCGGTGCTGCTTCGACTAGTGCAAAGCGCCGCAGCAGCAAGGGCAAGGGTGGCCGGGGTGGTGGAGGTGGCAGCGGTGGTGGCGGAGGTGGCATTGGGAGCGGTGGTGGGGGCAGCGGTGGAGGTGGTGGAGGCAGTGGAGGTGGTGGCGGCGGTGGGACTGGTGGCGGCAATGGGGGCTCTGGTGGCGGCGGTGGAGGCAGCGGAGGGAGTGGCGGCAGTGGAGGCGGTGGGACTGGTGGTGGCAGGTCTGGACCTCGGCGTGGAGGCCCTGGTGGTGGTCAGCAACAGCAGCAGCAGCGTCGGAGCGAGACCCAGTCGCCCCAGCAGCTCCGTGAGTGGTTGGTTCAGCGTGGGACGGATGGGGGTAGTGAGACCTGCCCGTATGTCATTCGCACGGGTGTTCGTGCGGGCCAGACATGCGGGAAGTTTCACACTGAGCACCGCTGCTTCTCCCGCATTGACGACGCCTGGCGTGCTGAGTTTGGTGACGCCGTCGAGCGCCCTCGCTGGGCGCAGTTGCTTCAGTCAAGAGTTGCTATCTTTGACATAAACTTTGATGTTATTATCTCTGCCATGTATGCTTTGTCTTTTAGTGCTGAGGGTGACTGTTACCGGTGTGTGCCTCCTGACCCAGGTATAGCGGCTGCTGCTCTAGGTGCTAGTGCGTCTGGTACTCCCCCTGGTACTGCGCCTGCTGAGGCCTTGCAAACCTTCACGTTGGACTCAGGCGCCTCGCGCTGTTTATTTCGTGACAGCACCACTCTCACTCCTCTCCCTGCACCTGTCCTGGTCAGACTGGCTGACCCCTCTGGGGGCCCGGTCGTTGCCTGTTCCTCCACTGTCCTCCCGTGTCCGGCAGTTCCGTCCGGCTCACTATCTGGTCTTCGCCTCCCCTCGTTCTCTACAAACTTGGTGAGT